GTCCCCTATGATACTGTTTTTCATCAATATATTACAGGTCTCAGATATATACAGAACCTGTCTCTGATTGGCTGAAACACCAAACAGATCATTGCAGCATTACCCATAATCCCCTCTGTTTCAAAAGTGCTGATTCTCTGTCTGTTACTTCAGATGAAAATAAGGAGCCCCTCCCCACGCCCCTCTGAGAGAGATTTGGTTAAAAAGAAGTCAATGGTGCTCTAGGAGGAGATTCAGGTGATAATGTATGGGGGGGGGGTTACCTTGGTTGCTGATTGGCTAATGGTTACACAAGACAAAAAATCGTTATGACATCATAAAGTGGCCAAAATCTGATCAGCTCATTTTCAGACACGGTCTTTATAGAAATGGATCAAAAAGAGAGAGAATCTTTGTTCCTGAAACTTTCAGAATCTCTTTCCACAGAGGGGACACATGTTGATGTAGAAGAGACATGGAGAAGAGGGGACACATGTTTATGTAGAAGAGACATGGACAAGTGGATTTTGCATAACAGGTGACCTTTAAATCTTGAAGAGAGTTCATTTTAAAGTGCCTCCCTGTTATCAAACTCGCACATATAGTTCATGGTGCGATCGCAGTAATGGTCCCACCAGTCGCCGTCGTCCGAGGACATCGCCACACAGTTTTCCCGCCTCCCTCCGTCCGGCTGGCTGGACAGGAAGTGTCTCCGCCATTGGAAATACGAGACCCTCGACCCATCATCGAACACGTACAGGCCGTCAGATCGCAGGTCGTTGATGCCCAGCCACACGGGCCAGTTCCCCGGGTGGAAGAAGGACTTCACGTAGTCGGCGAGGGCTTCCTGCTCCTTTCGGTCTCGGGGCATCGCCATGCGGCCGCCGCGCTCCTGGCACTTTCTGGAAGCTGAGGCGTAGTCCTCGAGGCTATTGTACACGAGATAGCATTTGTATCCCAACCTGTGTCCCTTCTGACAGCCTGAGAAGCAAAAAATAAATAAAAACTGCCATTATCTTTTTGGCCACTTGGGGGCAGTGCAACATTTTGTAAACAAAGTATTGACATATTATCACCATACAAAGCGTATGGATGGCATACACCAACTGTTGCTTACTTTACATACTTATTATGTTTATATAATATTGTAATCGTTTAATGTTTATCTTTGTATTGGAAAAGATTACTTTAAATTATTATTATGTTTATATATTAACTTATTATATTTTGTCTTTTGTTTTATTTCATTCAAAAACCTAATTTCCCTCGGGATAAATAGCGTATTTCTGATTCTGAAGTGGCATCAACTTGGAGTCATGTTTGTAGGAACATATCTCCATTACCTTCCAGTCTTCCCATCTCTTTGCGGTTGACCTTGCTGTGCTGGTAGACCTCCGCGATGCTGTCCTCCAGCTCCTCCACTCTAGCTGCCATGTTATTGGAAGGGAACAACAAAAAAGAGTCATGAAATGAGTCAGAAAAATGCATCTTCATATTAACTGCAAACAGCTGCTCTATAGCTCAAGTCAAAGTCAACTTCATTGTCAATCTTTCAGTTCTTGTGTACAGACAGAGAGATCGAAATACCGTTTCCCACAATCCTGAATACAAATATGTATGTATGTAAATCCTATATATACACAATCAACCGACACATTTATACATATGCACACATTAAGATAAAAACACAACAATCAATATATACAAAAAAACAGTCACTT